ATATATATATATATACACATATTTCTTCATTTTATACTTTCTCTTATAATGTACGTGTGCAATGAAAATAATCATATATTGAGTTTCAGTAAAAAAAATTGTTTCTTTAGTATAAATGTAACAGAACAATATCAAAATGTATATTAAACTTAACGAAATAAATTTTCATGACACTGTATTTACTATACAACATATACATACATCTGATAGATTTTTTTATCATTTATACATTTGTACATTGTATCATAACAAATAGTAGCAGATTTTTACATATAAACTTTCTTCTCAAATGACAATGTGTTTTGTATAAGTTATTAAAGTAAAACTACATTCTATAATTATAAAAATTTTGAACTAATATTTTTCGTTAATTTATCTGTTTCTACGATATCAACAAACTTTTCTGAGCCCTTCTTCTGAACAGAAAGGGTTATGCTTGCTCCATTTTCATGCCATTTTGCTTTTAATAACACACAGCATCCTTTATCTGTAAAAAATTTTAATTTCATTAGAAAATCATAATATTTAAGCAAGAGGAAAAAAAGCAAATACCAAGTTCTCCTCGCTCGTGAGCTGCTGCTAATTGGTTAACAACACGTCTTTCCACTTCATATTTGATAGAACGAGCACCATAATGTACATCGTACCCGTCTGCTAATACTGATAGAACCTCTCTATCCCATTTTAATTCAATCATATGTCTTTCTTTTGCGCGTTTAGCCCATGTTTTTAATTCTCTGGCGACTAATTCTATTAATTCTGCCCGAGAAAATGGTAAAAAATATACAATTTCATTTATTCTTCCCAAAAACTCGTCTCTCCGAAAATGACTTTTAAGTATTGGACGTACCTGTAAAATAATTTTATTATATAATTTTCTACATGTTTTAAAATATCTCTTACTTTTTCATATCTCTTACTTTTACATACCACTTGATCTTTAAAATTACGAGATATCTCGATATGTCCTGGCTCTTGATTTTCATCAGTAGTGTTAACTAATCTATGATTTAATAGTCTTTCAGCTTCTGCTCTGAGTTGTATTGCATGTTCTGCAATTTCTTCACTTCCTAAATTTGATGTCATTATAAAAATGGCATTTTTACATTCGATTGTTTTACCTTTACCATCAGTTAGTCTTCCCTTAAAAGTAAATATTATTGCAGTGAAGAATCC